CAATTTTTTTCTTACTAAATCAGTTGTTTAAGGAAGTTTCATAAAAAAATACTTTGTTCTCTTCTGAAATGTATAAATTAGAATTTGTGAGATTAGTTTATGATTTTATGAAAGAACTGATTTATTTATCTTGACCAGGTATAGAATAGTATGAAGTAATGTCCACTGGTGTGAAATATGAAATTGCATACTTTGCAACTGGAACAGATTTTCTGAATTAGTTGCATGTTTACTATAATTAAAGAAATCTTAAAAATAAATCAAATTGACATCCTAGGATCATTGTCCTATGTGAAAGCATTGTCAATCAATCAATCAATCAATCTATCAATCAGAATAGAGCTGGAAGGAACCTTGGAGGTCTTCTAGTCCAACCCCTTGCTCAAGCAGGAGACCCTATACCATTTCAGATAGGTGGCTGTCCAGCTCTTCTAAAAAACCTTCAGTGATGAAGTACCTACAACTTCTGAAGGCAAGCTGGTTAATTGTCCTCACTTTTATGAAGTTTCTCCTTAATTCCAAGTTGCTTCTCTCTCCTTCTTTAGTTTCCATCCATTGTTTCTTTTCTTGCCTTGTGGTGCTTTGAAAAATAAGTTGACCCTCTCATCTTTGTGGCAGCCCCTCAAATACAGGAATACTGCTATCATGTCACCCATAGTCCTTCTTTTCTCTAGACTAGCCATACCCAATTCCTACAACTGTTCTTCATATGTTTTTGTCTCCAGGCCTTTAATCATCTTAATTGTTCTTCTTTGCACTTTTTCCAAGGTCTCAATATCTTTTTTGTAATGTGGTGATCAAAACTGATGGAGTATTGCAGGTGTGGTCTTACTAAGGATTTATAAAGCGATATTAATGTTTAAGTGGTAGTAATACTTCATGTGATTTTGATTCTATGCCTCTTTTTATACAATCAAGGATTACATTAGTTTTTTTGACTGCTGCCATACACTGGGGCTCATGTTTAAGTGATCATCCATTAGGACTCAACCTTATAGTTACTGTTTTTGAGCCAGGTTTCACCTAATCTGTACTTGTACCTTTGGTTTTCCCTGCTTAGATGTAAAACCTTGCTTTTCTTCATATTAAATTTTCTGTTGTTGGATAGGGCCCATTGTTTAGATCTGTCAAGATCTTTTAGATTCTGAGCTTGTCTTCTGGGATGTTGGCTTTTCCTGCCAGCTTAGTGTCATCTGCAAATTTGATGAATTCCCCTTCTATTCCCTCATCTAAGTAATTTATGAAGATATTGAAGAGTACTGGGCTTAAGATGGAACCTTTTGGTACCACACTGCTTACTTCTCTCCATGTAGCTGTTGTACCATTAAGGATTACTCATTGAGTATGGTTTGTCAGCCAATTACAAATCCATCTAGTGATGATGCTGTCTATCCCACATTTTTCTAGTTTACTAAGAAGTAGGTTGTGGTTTACTTTGTCAAATGCCTTGTTGCAGTCTAAGTGTACTATGTCGCTGGTCTACTAATTTAGTCACTTAGATTGGCTTGGCATGATCTGTTTTTAACAGGCTGGCTACTAGATATAACTTTATTTGTTTCTAGATGTTGATAGATCTGTGTTTTATTATTGTTGTCGTTGTTATTATTATTATCTAACATGTTCCCAGGTATTGATGTTAGGCTGATTGGTCTGTTTCTTCATCTTTTTTGAAGATGGGAACCACATAAGCTCTTTTTCAAACCTCTGGTAGTTCCCCAGTGCTCCAGGATTTTTTAAAGATATGGTAGAATAGTTCTGAGATAACATCTGCCAGCTTCTTCAGAACTCTGGGATATAATCTATCAGGTCCCAGTGATTTGTATTCATCAAGATCAGACAGATGTTCTGTTACATTTAACTTAAAATTTAAACCTTAAAACTTAAGCTTTGCTTTTAGTTCTTATTTGGGTAATTCATAAAACAAATGTATATGATCTTTTGATAATATATTTTTTCATGCCTGTTTCTCTTGATAGAGAAAAAAATGCACTATGGTTTTCAGAATTACTTTGTACTTTTTAACTTGTGCCTTTGCCTCAAGAAAGAGACACTAGTGAATACTCAATAACATTATAAAGAAATACTCAGGAAGTTTAAATTGTTTCAATTTCCATCAAATAGTTACTTAATAGAAAAGGCATTCTAAAGACTACACTATTAAATGTTCTTAAATGAGTCACTTGTTCTCTGTAGTTATAAATACACTCCAGGGGAAAAAAACTCTTCGTTTCTGTACGATCTTGTCAGCTCAAGATAATGTACCCTGGATTTGTGGAAATAACATGTTATTCTTCCTCGTGATTAACTGGCGTCCTATTGATAGAAATACAGAAAAGAGACCTACAAACCTCTTAAGCTTTATGACTACATCTATCAACACACAGCAGATGCATTTTAGCATTCATAAAACTTGACCTTCATTTATGAACTTATTAAAAATGTTTTTTACAAATTTCTGAAACCTAACTGCAGAAATCTCCCATGATTTGGTAATTTTGATGATGTTTAATGAAATTTTGATATTTTAATGTTATTTAGAAGTGGATTTTTCAGTAACTTATTTTATATATGGACTATTGCACAAGACCTCATGTTTGCTCTTTAAAGCATTCTCTGCAATCATGGATTACAGTGATTATATGTGATGACCTGATTACTTCAAATTCAGTGTTTGAGTGTAGAGACAAGCTAATATGTTTTGGTCAGACAACATCTGTTCTCACTAAACAAGAACTTGTATATATATATATTTTCAGAATGCTCATCTCACCTGCATTCTGAAAATAATTCTATCAGTGGTATGAATTGTCTAACAGCAGACAATTGTGGAAAATTATAACAGGTGGTCCTTGACTTAGCCCATTCATTTCCACTATTGTCTGAAACTGTGATGGTCCTGAAAAAAGGATTCACAATCTGTGCCTGAGGTTATGGTCACTGCAGTGCCCCCATAGTTACCTGAACAAAATTTGGATGCTTAGCAATCTGCCTGCCCTTACAACTGACCACACGGAAGCCACAGCTGTTCTCACCTGCCTATCTTCCCCATCCTGTCCTCTGGGTCCCTTGGGCTATTTCACACCAGGCTGTGTCCCACACCCTTGAGTCTCTCCTGCCTCATCACATCTTGCTCCACTTACTTCTTCCAAAGATTGTGTTTCCCAAGAAGTAGCTGATACACTATACAACCTTCCTATACAGAAGCCACATGGTGTAATCCCAAATGCCATTTAAGAAGCATTTAGAATTCTCATTCTGAGAATTATGGCCAATCCCAAAAATGTGCCTGCTCTGGAATGCCATTAAGAGGCTTCTGTATGGGAATGCCATGTGGCAAATTGATTGCTGCTCCTTGGGAAAGATAATTTTTGGAAAAGGTAAACAGAACAAGACTTATTGGAGAAGAAGAAAGCCCAAAAGTGTAGGATCCAGCAAGGTAAGAAATAGTGCCTCAGAAGATCATGGAGGCCCTGAGAGGCCTTAGCTATGGAAGTGCTATAGTGCAGGTCTTCCTGCAGCTGGGAAAGCAGGACTGTGGCCATTAAACAAGGTGATCCTGTAGTTGCTTTGCTTAATGATCATAATTTTCATAAATTGAGGACTACATGTATGATCGCTCATTGAGTATACCGCTTTCTTCATGTGTCTCTTCTGAATATGAGTGGGTTTACTCTGCTGTTGTCAATTTATTCTTTCCTCCTCATATTTATCCAGTATGATAACACTTTATCAGATTAACAAATTTTATTAAAAGGTATGAGGCATTATAAACTGTAAACATATACTTTAATAAAATTTGTTAGTCTGACAAGGGGCGGCCAGATTTATCCTGATTCTTGGCTATTATAGATTAACCCAGCATTCCTCGTTTTATTTAATTTAATACTTTATAAATGTGGATAAAATAATGCTAGTTGTAGATGCATTTGAATGCAGCCTACGATCATTTCAACATACTGACTTGTGCATAGAAAAAAATATACAGTATTGTTAGCAGAAGTTCTTATTTTCTTTTTTTAAGTAATGAACACTTGAAATGTAATTATATAATACATTGCTTAACATTTAGATTATTAATATAGTGTTAGTAAAATTCACATTTGTAATTACTAATTAACATTAATAATATTTTGCTATTTTAATATAAGGAGATACTGTGTTTGTGAATATATATTGTTATCTTTCTGTGCATATAACTGTTAGAAAATTGGCTCAGACTTAGGAAAGACTTGTCATTAGTTGTGTGTCCAGTTGGCTATATGATACTGTAGCATCTAAGATGAGAAAGAAGTTGCATTCACAAACAAGTATATAGTATGGGAGCAGAATGAATGCTTTTATTGTAATACTATATAGTTACAGTTCAGTTCCATTGGCTACAATGTCTAAATCTTGGATGTGGCCTTTAGAGCCCCTCTCTTATTTGCTATTGAGTTGAAAGGGAAAATTATCAGTTCAGTTTCTGTTCTGGTTCTGATTTCTTTTCTACATCCATGCAGAGGGCAAGTGCAATTCTGTATAAAAAATAATTTTGAAATCTTGCAGGGGTGGTCCCAGTTTGTAGGAAAAACATATTAGAAAATTGACACTTACTTCTTATGCCTATAATTTAAGGTTGAAGATTAAGAATACATTAAAATATGTTGGATGCAAGTGGAGAATAAGATATATAAATGATAAATGATTTCTACTAATAGATATGAATGAGGAAGAATGGATTCATAACATTGTATTCTCTGACATTTTCATTTGCAGTATTATATTGTATAAATTCAGTAGATTTCATTTTCAAAATGGTAGGAGACAGAGCCTCTTTGCTGGTAATTAATTTTATCTCTGTACTTTGTTAGCAAGTTGTGTTGATAAATGAAAAGTAATTATACCACTACTAATGATAATATTGTATTAAAAAAAGTGTGAAATCTTGCTGGGGTAGTCCCAGTTTGTAGGAAAAACATATTAGAAAATTAACACTTATTTCTTATGCCCCACAATTTAAGGTTGAAAATTAAGAATACACCGAAATATGTTGGATGCAGATACAGGGATCGTAGAAGAATGGTTATCAGAATTCAAGGTAATCCACGATTCTTGAATTATAAGAAAATTTGAAACTAAAGAACTGAATTATAAAATATTATTTTTCTTAGAGATTACACTATAAAATTTTAGAATTAATACTAATCTATTGTCCAAGAGCGATAATAGAAGAGGGCCATTGCCATCTTGCCAATGCTTGTAAGATTTTTGAATGTACCTGCTTGATCAGTGTTTGATATAGAGGTGTATTTAATTTAACAGATTTTTTAAAAATTAGAATTGTATGTATTAGATAATCTCTCAAACTATATATCTTAAATGGTTTTTGTTAGACAGTACCAGAAACATCTATAGCAAGTTATGCTAAAAATTTGAAAGACAAGATTTCCTTGGTTTCATCTCTATATAAAGTTATTCAAGATCTACAAAATGAGGTATGTAGATATTAATTAATTTATTGGAATTGGGATGAACATTGAATAAATTGCATAGTAACATGATGACAAAAAGTAAAAAATAGAATATAAAATTCTGTTTTGCTCCTCAAAATACTCTTTTTAGATCTTAAATATTTTGTTGGTATTGTTCTATACAGACATGAAAATTAGAAACAATTTCTAAATGATGTCCTTTTTTCTTGAGCTGTTGTGAAGTTGAATATAACTATAATGCGCATTGTTTCAAAAAAAGTAAAATCTTCAGGAAGGATGATACTTATTACAATTTTAAGAAACAAGGATTCAGTTCCATCTCTTCATTCAGTTCCTAGTGAAATGCACACATTAAAAAGGGTTCCCGCCATCTTCTATGCAAAGTTTACGTTTGTTAAATAAGATAAACAAATGAGGCTTACTAAATACTGGGAACCAATGTAATACTTAACAAATGGAATTTTTTTAAATAGTGAGAAAATGCATCTTACAGTAACATATTTAAACATTGCCAAATGTTTAATGCATGTTTTTCCCTTCAGTTGCTGGAACCAGTCTGTCACCAGTTATTTGAATTTTATCGCAGTGGTGAGGAACTACTTCTGCAGTTCACACTTCAGTTTCTTCCAGAATTGATATGGTGCTATCTTGCTGTTTCTGCTAGTAAAGACCTACAAAGCAGTGGCTGTATAGAAGCACTTTTACTAGGAGTTTACAATTTGGTTTGTATCTAGACTTAGAATTCATTCATTCAACAATTTATATGTTACTAAATCTCCCAAAAAGGCTCTAGATGTCATTACATTTCGTTGCTTGATACATTAGGTTCCTTTAACATTGATATTGATATAAGTGACTACTTTTTATGACGAATATTAAACATCTGGAAGAGGAAGATGTTCTGAATAGTGTTCTCTATGGTGATAATTGCTTTTTTCAATTCTAGTATAGTTGGATGAAGGAACTAACTTGAAATGGATGGTATCAAAAATTTGATTATTAATCATTCTTTCTTTATATGATTATCCATAAAATTTTCTGACGATGGTGGGACGGTTCACATGTGAGGTTGTTGAATATGTTTATGAGATGTAAACTTAGTCCGAAATCCATGAGAATGTTTATATAAAAAAATGTGGTACGTTCTGGAATGAATGAGTCCGGACATAGGTTTTTGCCTTTTTTTAATTTTACACACTTTCTTTCCCAATCATCAATGTTTTGGTTGTGTGAAAAAAAGACATCAAAGGAAAACTGGATATTTATGGGCACAGTACTATAATAGGATGCATATACATTTTTTTTGCTTGCTTCAGAAATAGAGGAGGACTCTCAAGTATATAGAATACGTCTTCTTCTTCAATGTGGCAAAGTGGGTATGAATTCAGATGGGTATATATAAATGATAAATGATTTCTACTAATAGATATAAATGAGGAAGAATGGATTCATACCATTGTATCTTCTGACATTTTCATTCGCTGCAATATATGGTATAAATTCATTTCATTTCATTTTCAAAGTGGTAGAGCCTCTTTGCTGGTAATTAATTTTATCTGTACTTTGTTAGTAAGCTTATGTTGATAAACAAAAAGTCATTATACTACTACTAATGATAACAATATAATATTACACACAAACACACACATAATAGCAGTGAATGGCCTCTGCAATGATCTTAGAGAACTAGATATACTGCTTTCAAAAACATCTTAAAGTAATAATCCCTAATTTTAAGTGATATACCTTGTAGCATTTTAATATTTTTTTTCATAAATAAAGAAGTGAAAACATATATTGCAGCTACTCTCACTTTCATGTTATTTCACACAAGATTGCCGTGATGATTTTTAACAATTACTTTCAAAGTAATAAAATACTATGACTCAAAGGGTGCATGGTAGTTAAATGCCCTGAAAGTAAAGAATTAAGATTTCACAATTACTCTGTGAACAAGATGGACATTACATAATTGTGATTAAATAAGTAAGACATGTTTAGATTTTGCTACATATAAATTATATATGTAATTATACCTCATGTATAAATTTCCATCTTTGCTTATAATAATAAATATTATGGCATGATTTGGGAGCTTATGTTCTGCTTTACGTTTGTTGATGTGCATTTTATGAAATGCATATGAATAACTTGATTATTTTCCTCACAGGAAATAGTTGACAAACAGGGGAACAGTAAGATCCTAAGCTTTACAATTCCATCTTTATCAAAACCTTCAGTATATCATGAAGTAAGTTTTAAAAGTATTCTTGTTTTATGTGATGTTTGTAGCTTTGTTCTAGTCTCCCTTAAAAGGATATAATCTGACCTTTTGACATCTAAATTAGTAGTGGGCATTCTTTGGCTGCATTTACATTTTCAGAAAAGAACCAAAACTAGGTTGGCCATATGACATAGGTCATTTTAAAATGTGGGGATCTACACTATAATTTCAATTACTAGTTGGGTAGGGAGGCAAATTCTTTCTGGGGCTAGGTTCTGGAACTTCTGCTGCTAAACAATTCAGTTGTTCAGTGAGTCATCATGTGACTGCACCTGATTTTATGACCTTTTGCTATAGTTCCTAAGTGAATCCAGCTTCCCCCATTGACTTTCTTGTTTGAAGCCCCCTGAGAAAGTCAGAAATGGCAATCGTGATCTCAGGACGCTACAACCATTGTAAATACACGCCAGTTGCCAAGCACCTGAATGATAATCATGTGACTGTGGGGATACTGCAAGTTGTAGGGTTTTTTTGTTATTTTCCCCTCTAAAAGATTTCAGTTTGCTTTTCAATTGAATTCTACTGCTTGCATGTTATAATGCATTCAGAAAGTATTCAGACCCACTTCACTTTTGTCAATTTTGTTATTCTGAAGCCTGATTCTACAGTTGTTGAAATTTATTTTTTCTCATTAATCTACACTCAGTAGCCCATGATGACAAAGTGAAAACAGAATTGTAGAAATGTCTGTAAATTTATTAAAAATAAAAAACTGAAATATCACTTTGGCATTAGACCCTTTATGGTATTCAGGTTCTTCACTCAGTACTTTGTTGAAGCACCTTTGACAGCAATTACAGCCACAAATCTTTTGGTTATGACGCAACAAGCTTTGGACACCTTTAGGATATTCAGGTTCTTCACTCAGTACTTTGTTGAAGCACCTTTGGCAGCAATTATAGCCACAAATCTTTTTGGGTATGACGCAACAAGCTTTGCACACCTGGATTGGGGAATTTTCTGCCATTCTTCCTTGCAAATCCTCTCAAGCTCAGTGAGGTTGGATGGTGACTGTTGGTGGACAGCCACTTTCAGGTCCCTCTAGAGATGTTCAATAGGATTCAAGTCAGGGTTCTGGCTGGGCCACTCTAGGACATTCAGAGTTGTCCCTATGCCATTCCTGTATTATCTTGCCTATGTGCTTAGGATGGTTGTCATCGGGGTGGGTTCTACTTACCTTTACTACCAGTTCACAACGGGATCATGCGTGCGTGCCTTGATTCTGCAGATCACTGATGACGACATCCGGGGCAGTGGGCAGGGCCTCCCACCGGTTTTACTACTGGTTCTTGCAAACCGGTCCAAACCGGGGCAACCCACCACTGGTTGTCATGTTGGAAAGTGAACCTTTGGTCCAGTCTGAGGTGCTGAGCTCTGTGGAACAGGTTTCATTGAGGATATTGCTGTACTTTGCTCCATTCAGCTTTCCCTCAACCCTGACCAATCTCCCAGGCCCTGTTGCTGAAAAACACCCCCACAGCCACCACAATTAAATTTCTTGAGCTAAAGAGATGAACTGAACTAAATTTCAAGTTTTGTTGCAGAGGGTCTGAATACTTATGCCAATGTGATATTTCAGTTTTTTTGTTTTTAATAAATTTACAGACATTTTTAAAATTCATTTTTAAAATTGATGATAAACTGCTTTCTGCTTTCTTTTTATTTTTGATTTTTTTTAAAAAAATTAGTAATGCCATGTTAAGTGATATATTGAAAAAAACTATTTTGTTTAGCCTTCCAGTATTGGTTCAATGGCTCTTACTGAGGGTGCTTTATCTCAACACGGCTTATCCAGGGTTGTATATAGTGGACCTCATATGCAAAGAGAAATGTTGACAGCACAAAACAGGTAAATGCATGATGTTGCTTTCAATTATAGAGATTAAAGAAGTAATCTGGGCATTTCCAAATTATCCTTTTCTCATAAATTAATATTTAACAAATACAGTTTTTTAAAAAACATAGCTTATATGTATTGTTGATATGACCAATGAAGAGGAAATGTTTTGTTTGCATGATTAATGATACTCTTTGAATTAACCATAATTCTTGTTTTATAGATTTGAAGTATTGACATTCCTTTTGCTACGATACAATGCTGCCTTAAGCTATATGCCTGCGGTTTCTCTTCAGTCTTTATGTCAAATTTGTTCAAGGTAATTTTTTCTGAAAAGATTGATAATAATAAACTATGGCTGTAACTATATAAGAATACATTTTACTAAAAAACAAAAGCTTATATAGGAGAGAAAAAAAAGGTAATTTTGACATAACTGCAGTTTACCAATCCCTGTTAAATACAACATGTCAAAATTCAGATCTTCCCAGAGGCATAAACTCTTTATAGCCATAGTGTGATTCAGTTTCATTTACCTATCATTCTGTTCTATTGTATTAATAAAATTTACTAATTATGTTTTATTGCTTCATGAAAATGATTAATATTCAGTGATCCAGGAGTTGTAGTAATTTCTGTAACACATTAGAAGAGCTTTGCTTTGGTTTCAGTACTGTTGTTTTTGACAAGTGAAATAGGGCACTGTTTCTCGTCTTTTCTCCTCCCTCTCTTTCATGTTGGTTTGGATCAAAAGGTCAATATACATGGAGAAACTTATAAATGTGTCACTTTTCCCCCCACAAAATAGCTCATTGAATAAGTAAAGTACAACACAGAATGAGTAAACTTCACTGGACTATATAACAATTATGCAAAATATAATATAAGAAATGGAAGAATTTTTATATATTTTGAAAGCTCATAGACGTTAATTACACTCAGACCTGAAAGCAAAAAAGAATGAAATGTATTTACTGAACTTCCTAAATACACTAATTATATTATTAATTAAATCAAATTTCCAATGTCAATGTTTAGAGGCTGCATTGTATATTATTCTTAGTAGTTCATACCTAGGACTTCTATGTAAGAACCTCCCCTAAAAAAGAAGAAAAAAATCTATAGAGAGTCTTTGATAATTGATCTCTCCATGTCTGAAAGAATGAAACTACTTGAGGTGCATGATTAATTAAAGTCGCAATATAATTGTGATGGGACCATATTCCAAGATATCATAAGATCTCTTTCTCTGTCTCTGTTTATTTTTCTGTCTCTCTCTGTCTCTCTCTTTATCTATCTATCTATCTATCTATCCATCCATCCATCCATCCATCCATCCATCCATCCATCTATCTATCTATCTATCTATCTATCTATCTATCTATCTATCTATCTTGTTCATCTTGCCAGAAGCAACCGTACATGGTTTATAGATACTGAACAAAATGCAGAACAAAACATTAAAATGATAAATATCTCACATTTAATAATTCAATTAAAACTAAGCAGGGTGGAGAGGGAGTGCACAAAGTGTGCACGGAGAGGAGATGGGGTGTTCTTCATTAGCTGTCTGTGCCACACCTTCATGAGGATCCCAAGCTAGTTGACATATGCTTCAAGGCTTTTTGGAAAGCCAAAAGGATGACAGTGAATTTGACCTTTATTATACTGTTTTTCCTCCCGGCCTTCTACCATATACACTGTGATTGTGGTTGCTCTATGCTTCTCAGAGCAATTATAGTGTTGGGTGCCTTATAAATTTCTAAAACAAACAAATAAAATACTTAGATCTTCTAAACTTCACTGTGTGTCACCCCTATGGAAGACATAGCTGAAATTGGATTAGAGCGATTTACTTATTGTAGAGCAAAAGGTTGAAGATATTTTATTATTGCAATATAAATCTTTGAAAAGAAGGCTTTCTAAAAAAAAATTCAACTAGAATTTTTTATGTACTTGCTGAAGTAATTTATTCAGAATGGAAACTTATGAGGTTATAATAATTGGTGTACAAAGTTTGATGTCATGTAATTTAGCAAGGACAATCCTGGAGTTCCTGTTACCATTTTAACCCCAGGACTGTGTAGGTCATTAAGTAGGAAGATGTGGGAGTCCCAGGCAAGCAGGCTGACTGGTAGAGCTATGAGTAAGAGTTAAGCTAAAAGTTAAAATTATAGTTGAAGTAATTGTATTAATATTTAGTCAGTCAGCCAGTGCTAGCTATTTTTAGTATAAAACAATATATACTAGTATATGAAATTATAGTAGTTTTAGTATAAAAACCATTTATACAATATATACTTATACAGTTTACAAAGGAACCACATTAATAATAATTTTTAAATGTACATGCTGCCTAACTCCCACTAATTCTGGGAAGTTTATTTAAAACAAAACAAATAAAAACCAGAAAAGGGAAAAATTGGCTGAAACAACAAATATAGATGGGAACAAAGAAAAAGAAGAAAAGGGAGTTTCAATCATGCTCACCAAAGGCCTGGAGAAAGAGCTAGTTCTTTAGGGCCCTTTGGAAAAGAAATAGGATAGGGGCCATTTGAATCCAGAATCCAGCGTCCAGAGAGCAAGTGATACTACAGAGAAGGCATGCTTCCTGCGTCTGGCATTGTTTAATTAAAGGAACTCTTAGTTCACTAACCCTGTCAGATCAGATAGATCAGGTAAAATATTAATGGGAGACAATACTATTACAGTCCCTCAAGTATGGAGGCACTATACCATGTAGGGCTCTATGGGTAGTGACCAGCACCTTGAATTGTACTTGGAAACAAACTGGTGATCAGTTTGCAAACCAGAAATCTTACATGGGCATACTAATGGATGCTCATTCCTGCTGGTATTATGGCATTCTGAACTGGTTGAAGCTTCTGGGAGATCTTCAAGAGTATTCCCTTGAAGAGTGTGTTGTAGTAATAAGACATGAGGTGACCATGACATGAGGGACAATCAACAATGATGAAACTAGTCTTTGAGAAATGAAAAGAATCACTGTAAAATGGTACCTCAATCCCCAAACTATGCAAGTAACTGTCAAGGATATGTGGTTGACAATATTGAAAACCACAGAGAGAGATAAAGAAGCACAAGCATAATACAACACAATTCCTGTTCCACAATAAGTCATTAACCAGAAACCTAACTCAAAGAGTGTTCCTCCAGAGTTCATAGAAAGGGAAGGCTGGAGATTGGTCAAAAGTTATTGAAAACCATTGGGTGCACTACATCCTTTTATCAAAGAGGTTGCAGCAACAATCTAGTTGTGGGTCACCAGTCACCTCCCTTTCACAACTTGGAGGAACTCAAAAGGAGTAAACAGATAGCTAAATTAACAGCACAAAGAGCCCTGTCTACTTCCTCAAGTCACCAGGTAAACACATACCAGACCACATGCCCCAGGCACTCAGATCATGCCCAGGCACTCAGCCTGCCTGCTCAGTCAGAGTCCAAGGTTCAGGAAAAGGAGAGAGGAAGATATTTCAAAAGAGTACTGTAAACTGTTTGTGTAGCATACCTGGAGCTCCAAGTCCCAGGCTCCTTGCACCATTATATTGTTTTAGTGTGTGGAAGAACAGATAGCTTACTCTCTTGCAATCCTTTTCTCTCCAATCTCCTTGCTCTGAGAGAAGATCATAAATTGGCAATAGTTATTTTCTCAGCACTTTTGTAACTTTGAAAGGTTGCAGAACAGGAAGCAAGGACAGCCTGTTGTGACCCAAAAAAAAGTTTACTTAATGGTTTGGATCATTTTGAGGGATAATGAGATCATCAGAGATTACCTACTCTAATATTTTGGAAGTGCAGTATTGGGCTATCTACTAATTTTATTTTGCGGGTATGGCATATACTACTATATGTAAAGCATCTTTTCACTTTAGAAGATTTTTTTCCCCAAAAATATCGTGATAGTGATATAAAATATGTTTTTAAACTTCATCACCAATATGTAAAAGATCTTATGTTACACTCTTAAAGAATATGTGCACTTTGCTGACCCACTGATTTGGCCTACAGAAGAATTACTTGTTTCTTGATTGTTTTGGGAATAATTCTTTTTCACTTTGAAATCCATAATATTTTAAAGCTGTATTGGACAGTACAATATAGCAATTTTAAAATAGTAATGATAATTTTAATATTTGTATTTCTTTTAGAATCTGTGTTTGTGGATACCCTCGCCAACAAGTAAGAAAATACAGGGGCATAAACAGCAGAATTCCAGTCTCCTCTGAATTCATGGTGCAAATGTTAACAGGAATTTATTATGCTTTGTAAGTTCAGTAAATGTATGTCTTGTATATATGTGTAATAGTGAATTTTGGAGCATATTATATATAAAATACAAAATGGAATGCTTATTTACATAATAGCAGAGGCAGAATTCAGAACTCTCACAGTTGACATTGTAAAAGTCAGAATTTTTCAATTTTCTTGCTATTGTTTTTATAAACTGTCCAAAGTGATTTCCTGAATGACAATTGGTAGTTGATTTTGGTGGTACAAAAAAAATCTGCTTATCAGTTCTGTTGGGTAAAACCAAAACAGACTTGTAGTTTCATGAGGGAAAAACTGCAAAATCTATAGTAATCTTGATTTGGACCAATCAGATGTTTAAAAAAATATTCTTTAGAATCTGAAAGACTACCTTCCTCTCCCTAAAATGCTGGTTTCACATGGGGCAGTGGTGGCAATGGAACTGGCAGAGCCAATTGTTAAACATTTATTAGCAAATCACAATATATACATGACAATGATTAAATATCTTATGACCATAGGCTGGTAATTCTGAAATTATTACAGATAATTCTTATTTAACAACCATCGACCATTTGAATTATGATGGTGCTAAAAGAATGGTTCTTTTGTCTGGTCCCTAAAATAATGGCCCTCATGGTCACGTAACCAAAATTTGAGTGATTGGCAGCTTGCTCATACTTAGGACCACAGCAATGCTCAACTTCACCCACCTGCCCTCAATTCTTAGCCATCATAACTCGACTACCTGTATTGAAATCAACACTGGGTAAAAGGAAAAGTGTACATGTTAAAGGAGCCTTGGTAGTACAGTGGTTTAAAGCACCCTGTTATTAACACAGCTGCCTGCAATTACAGCAGGTTCGAATCTTACCAGGCTCAAGGTTGACTTAGCCTTCCATCCTTTCTAAGGTAGGTTAAATGAGGACCCAGTTTGTGGGGGCAATAAGCTGACTTTGTATAAATATACAAAAGTATGAAGGCTATTGCTTAACGCATTGTAAGCCACCCTGAGTCTCTGGAGAAGGGCGGCATATAAATCAAATAAAAAAAAAATGATAGAAACATATATGCTAAATATGCAAAATCTTGAATTTATAGTTTGTGATGCTTTTAAATGTTCAATTTTTTTTATAGATAGCATTCTGTTTGAAAATTATCTAATCTAAGTTTTTAATTAGCAATTTTAGCAAATTCCTGATAGTTAAGATGTTGCTATTTTCCTGGTTAAGAAACCATATTGAGAAGGCAAGTTTGCATGTTGGTACAATAATAGTAATGGCAGAAACATTGTGATTGAGATACAGCGTATGTTTGTATTTTAAAAGTAGCAGACCCTTATAACTGCTTTGAAGTTGTGATGTAGAGGCGATATTAATTTTTTCTGATCACTAATGCTTCCATGGAGAATCTATCTATCTATCTATCTATCTATCTATCTATCTATCTATCTATC